AGAATAACAAAATCAACAGGATATGTGAATGCACCCACATTAACAAGCAGATCTTCTACGATACCCCTAGGATGCACAACGGAACGGTCAGCTAGCTGAATGCTCATCCTAGTAGGGCTAAGTTCACCTAGGTCTAGCTTTTTGAACAGTTTATAGGGCATGACATTAATGCTAGCGCCTAGGTCCGTCAAGGACTTTCCTACATGCATGCTGCCAATAGTAAGAGGGATAGTAAAACTCCCTGGATCCTTGCGCTTTTCGGGCAGCTTGTTCTGCAGGATGGCAGAACATTCCTCGCTCAGCAGCACTGTCGAGAGATCCCCAAGTTTCTTCTTGTTGGTGCAGAGATCTTTCATGAACTTTGCGTACTTGGGCATCTTCGACAGTGCCTCCACAAATGGTACGCTGATGTTGAGCTGCTTCAACATTGCCATAAACTTGGCAAACTCAGTCTCCAGCTTGTCTTTGTGTAGGCGAGTGGGGAAGGGAAGCTGGGGCACATGCTCCTTAACCACTGGTTGTGGCTTGGGAGCAGGGGCTTCCTTCTCCACCCGCACTTCTGCATCACCGGCTGGAAGTGCTGAAGCAGGTAGTGGTTCCTCCTGCCTGGTCGGGGCAGGATTAGCTGATGTAGGCCTGCCACTTAGGGTGAAAATGGCATGTGCGGTCTCATGCGGGTCCCGTGGATTAGGGATGGTGGTGGCAGGTAGAGTCCCCAGGGCCCGAGTAGTAATCTGGCGAGCTATGGCGCCAACCTGGTTCTGCAAATCTTGCAGAATGGCACCCTGGTTCCTCTGTCCTGCCTCCAAGGTTCTCTGGCCTGCCTCCAGTGAAGCTATGGTCTGATCCATCCTCGTGATACTTGCCTGGCTGGTGGTCATGAATGCTGCCAAAATGTTCTTCAGCTCGGTCATCTGATTATCGGGAGCTGGCGCTGCTGCTGGCTCGGCATACTGACGCTGAGGCTGTTGGAATGGCTGCTCTTGCCTAGGCTGGTAGGGCTGCTGCTGTGGTGGTGGCCCCTGCCTATCCTGGAAGGGCTGCCTCTGCTGAAAACCACCTGCTGGTGCTGGGAAACCAGGTGGTTTGTTGGTGTTGCTGCTCCAGGCGAAGTTGGGATGCTGGCGCCATCCTTCATTGTAGGTGTTGCTGTATGGGTCGAGGCGCCGAGCATTGGCGATGAAGGCCACCTGCTCTTGGGGAGTGGAGGACTCCCTCATAGATTGACAATCCTCCACCAGGTGATTTGGGCTCTCACACCATCGACACTGAGCTACTGGAGGCGTAGCTACACCTCGGCCCGGAAGGAGACTGTTAGGCTGCTTCAATGTCTGCACCAACTCAGCCACCTGCTGCTCTAACCCGGATCTGGCCTCCATAGCATGCACACCTCGGTCCCGGGAATTCCTACCTCTGTTGTTCTGCCCCCAGGAATGATCGCGGGCAGCCAAAGTACTGATCATCTGGTTCAGCTCGGGTGGAGTCTTAGTAAGGATATCCCCTCCTGGGCATAGAGACTCGATCACCCTCTGGCTGTCTGGGGTGAGGGCACTGTAGAAGTTCCCCACTGTGAAAGCATCGCTGAAGCCATGATGGGGACACTGCCAGAAGTATCCCATGTACCGCTCCCATGCATCGCGAAGGGACTCATCTGGCTCTTGGCGGAAGTGAGTGATCTCCCGCTGAATCTCAGTAGTCTTCGATGCCGGATAATATCTGTGCACGAACTTATCCGCCAGATCGTCCCAAGAAGTGATGGACAGTGGGGGCTGGGTCTCCAACCACCTCTTAGCATTCCCCGCCAGAGAATGGGGGAAAAGGTGAAGGCGGATTGCATCATCCGGAACACCATTCAGCTTGAACCCGTTCGTCAGCTGCAGAAAACGGGAAAGGTGTGCCCGGGCTTCCTCATCCTTCAAACCATGGAACTAGATAGATGATGTGATGAGCTGAATCCAGCATGGCTTGATCTCGAAGTTGTTTGCAGGAATGGGCGGATAGAGGATGACCGGGCGGATGTCAGCAATCCGTGGAGTATAGTAGTACTCCAAGGTGGGACCCGGTGGTAGTGGATGATGATGGCCAGCTCCCTGGGGGTTTGGGTCGTTCCCCAGGATCTGGTTCTGAGGAGGCGGGTTCTGATTGCCTTCCATCTCGTGCTCGGAGTCGCTGGTCAATTGGTCGTCTCGGCGCTCCACCGTAGCCAGTCTAGCTTGCTGTTGTCTCCGAAGTTGTTTGCAGGTGCGCTCAATCTCAGGATTCAACGGCAGTAAACCTCCCGACTGGCTACGGGTCATGCACTATCTGCACACAATCAAGCAATGCAAACCCGTGAAGGCACAAGTGGGAAAAAACAAAAACTCAATGCGAAAATGAAAATGCTAAAGTAACAGAAATCACTTTTCTTCAACAACCTAGCCGTCCCCGGCAACGGCGCCAAAAACTTGACTCACTCCTACTGTCACCCTAGAAAATGGCCAAGTATAACCACTTCCTAAAGCGTAGTATAGCGGGTCGGGTTTTAATGTCAACCCGGGTCCTAGATGTGATGACTACTCGGTGAATTCTTGTTATTTAGCGGTGAACTTTTAGTGCAACTCAAGCAAACAGAACACACAAGCAAGTAAACGGTTTGTTGTCAAGTCAAGAGAGGTCACCCGGGTATGGTTCCCCCTAGACTGCAGTTAAGTCAGATTGCAATTTACCAAGTTCAGTTTTCATGAAAGTTATACTGCGGAAGGTTCTCAATTAGCCTGAAGTCTCGACTAAAGGTCTCCAGACCCTCCCAATCTGAGTCTCTAGCGGGCGACTAACCTCCACCGGAGTAAACAGATTGAGGCCCTAATGAACCAAACCTCCACTATCGAATTGACTTCGGTACAGAATAGCGAATTGGCTCCTCGACTAAAGTCACCAATTCGCCACCTTCGATTAAGGGTACTCTATCAACCTAGGCAGATATTCTCATTCTAGGTTAAAGCAGAAACAACAGGAATTTGATCAGGATTCAAGTCATTCAATCATTCAAACCTCAATCGAATATAATCAATTCACAAACTCTGTACTTGGGTTCATACAATCATACCTAGCATACAAATCTAGGGTTCTCCATACCCAGATGAATGGGGAAACTACTCCATAGAGAAAGAAGCAAAAGCAGATTCAGACGCGGAAATCATACTGTGAAGTTGGATTCCTGCTCCTGGACGTTTAATCGCACTTCTCCAAGCTCAAACCGGGCTCCAATGGTGTTGAAGATCGATCTATGGCGCTTGGGAACTCTGGTTCGTCGCTTTCTCTCTCTAGGAATCGATTTCTCTCTCAAAAACTCGGACCCCTTCAATGTTGGCCTTCTTCTTCCTTAAATCAGCTGCCTGGTCGCGATACCCGGTCGAAATACCCGGTCGGGTATTTTGGGTTTCGACCGGGTATCTCTGCAGCGCACCGTTTCGCTTAAGGGAAGAATCCCCGGTCAATCGCCATAATCCCCGACCGGGGATTTTGCTGCTGTGCCCGGGCCCCTCTCTGCTTCTCGGGCGCCCAAAAGTGGTGAATACCCGGTCGGGTATTTGGCCACCTGACCGGGTATTTTCCTCCTTCAGCCTATTCGTCCCAACTTTGCTCCTTTCGACCCAGAACTCGTTTCTCCGCCTCGATTCCAACGCCGGGACCTGAAATATGACATAAACACACAACCTAGCGTGAAATCGGCTTAAAAACACGAGATTCCTCATCACAAACAGCTTTAGAATAGGGGTGGAAACATGTATAATTATCGGTCTATCACCTATATGGTAATTTCTTGACAACCTAGGCAATACTATGCACAATGCATAGAGTAACATACAATAGAATCATAAGCATCAATGATACAAGAGCATTCATACTATAGAAACATCAATGACCATCACAAGCATCGAATACAAGAAGCATTCATACAAAGCAATAGACATAAAAAATCTCATAGATAAACACAGGCATGAGATGAAATCAGTGCTTGGTCGTCTCTCATTATCTTGTCCAAATGAGCCGAGTCTTCTTCCTATGGGTTCCTCTTGTGATAATGTAGCAACTTGTAGTTGACTTCCCCTGTCATTGGGCCTCTTCTTTCTCGTGAAATCTTCTTAATCTTCTCTTTCTAGCTCATTTGGTCCACTAGATTTCTTCAATTCTTGATCCCGTCGTCCTTTAGGTTGCTTTGTACCTTCAAAACCATCATAAATATACCAAGAAGGCATCAAATAGTGCAAGAATACATCTCAGGTCTATTAAAAGCTCATTGATCAAATAATTATGATTTAGACAAAAAAGACCATTGAAATAACCAAAGTTGTATTGATAGAAGGGAAAATGTACCAAAATGGGAGTGACAAACACTATAAATAAAGTGTCATCAACCAACAATAAACTTAGAGAGGATAACATGAGCAGTATGGCTATGGAGCTGGCCATCCACCAACCACCACCACAGCAGTATGGAGGCTATGAAGCTTACATAGCATCTTTGAGAGCAGTGGTGGAGAGACAAGAGGAGAGCTTACTTTCTTACCATACCCTGAAAGAGAAACACTGAGAAATCTGCTTCGATTGTTGGAAGGGACGAAAGCTCGCTTCGATCCGGGTTGACGATGCCTTCGTGTAAGTATGTTGTCGTGGACATAGGAGGAATGCATGGGGAGTTTCAGAGCTTGGTCGACAACAATGGAGTGGATGTAGGATGAGGAAAGAGATAAGACTTGGGTCGTTTTGGAAAGAGAGGTAAAAAAGATGAAGAAAAGGACGGATGGTCAAATGAGCATTTTTTTAAGAATTTATTTTTATTTATTTTAAATTTTTTTCTTTAATCTACGTGGATTCTCATTAAAAAATAACGCCAAATCAGTATTTTTGTTAGTCTAGACAATTTGTTAGATGACCTCGTCAAAAAATTAGACGGAATTGACTATTTTGTGTATTTCTCAAAAATAACTATTATCATCACAATCCTCAAAGTATTTTGAAAAAAATAATAATAATACAAAGAATAAAAAGGCACAGAGGCATTCTCATAGCTTCGGAAGGCCGCAACGAAACCCTAACGCGCCCAGTCAATAAGTTCTTCCCCTCTCTGCCCTCCCCTACTCCGCTCCCCTCTATCCTCTTTCATTCGTGGGAGCCGACGAGATCGTCTATTTCACTTCCCTTTTATTTTTCTGGTCGCCTTCAATCGGTAGAAAGCAAGACGGAGTAAACGCAAACGAATTTACCCTCGTTGTTGATTCTTTGGTGAGGTTAGGGTAAAGCCAAACAATGTCCTCGGACTCGGCGGTAGCATCGCCGGCGCGCAAGAAGCCGCGGCGGAGGTGGTGGGATAGTGGAATCGTTTCTGGTTCCAAAAAGAAGGTGACCGTCGCTCTGATGGGTCGAAACAACAAGACGGCGGCCTCCAATGACAACAACGACACCAACCCGGGAATCCGCACCGCCACCGTTACCGTCGTCGCCCCCAACTGCGATTTTCGCGGGAAATTCTCGACTATGGGTCTCGCAGTCGTGGATTCGAAATTATATGCTTTTGGTGGTCGTGAGATAAATTTCTCTCCTTCTGGCTATGACGATCGTGATGATGATGGCTTCTTGTACTGGAAATATCCGCTAGATGTATTCGTCTGCGATCTTGGAACGGACCCCGACATCCAACAACAACCACTCAAGTTTCAGCAATACCCAGCTCTGCTGAAGGGACCCAAGGTCGAGCCGATCCACGTTCCTTACAATGACAAGATTTTCATCTTGTCGAGGCTTTATGACCCCTTGTCGTCCAGCGACCTCTATGCTCCTTGTGAGGTTTTGGACCTCAAGGATATGTCCACGCAAATCGTTGATCTGCCATTGGATATGTGGGATCCCAATTTGATCCTACGGTACGATGGGCTTCCAGATTACCTGGGTCATGTAGTTGTAGGGAGGGAATTGATTGTTTATATGCACACTTTTGTTGGCTCCTCTGTGTTTGCTCTTGACATGGAAGAGCTAAAGTGGCGTCGCATCATGACTGAGCATGCTGATCATGATGACATCTCACCTATGAGGCCCAACCTGACGCTGATGATGTACCCATGGGATCGGCTTCCTGAGGCGCACTGTTCGAATCTTGTTCACAATGGTCGGTTGTTTATGGTGAGCATGCCGGATCATCGCCCCTTCCAAGTCATCCGTGTTAAGTACGTGTCGAATCCTTGGGCGAGTTATGATCATCTGCTGCTGCAGCAGGAGCAACACAAGACTAGGGATATGCGTCATCTTTCTGATTATGCTCTTCGTCTTGTACCGGCTGATTGTAAATTTGGGGACGCAAGGGTGGTTCCTTTTGGAGATGGTGATGTCTACTGTCTTTTTCTCTGGTGGGGACTTACTACGTACGAACTGAGGAGCCAGTTCAAGGTTTGCAAGTTTAGATTGGTTGGCGAAGATGGTGGTTGTGAAATCTTTGACACGGTGGAGGATTTCAGTGCTTTTTCACATGATTTTGATTCCTCTCGTGTCACGGCCTTTACTCACACCAGCTATATAGGTCCTTAATTTCTTTCCCTTGTATGAGTTCTGGTTTCATTCATTGTTCGACTACTCATTAACACGAGATTCCTATAATTTTGTGGATGGGCAGAGATGGGTGTTTATTGAAGGAGCTGGATTGCTCAGCCATGTGAAATCGTTGCATCGGATTCTCTCTATAGTGGTAAGTTTTGTTGTTCCAAGTACCAGTTTCTATCCTTTCTTCCTTCCTAGTATTTGACACTCTGGATGTTTCCATGTGGATACTATGGTTGTTTAACTTTCCCAGACTTGGCTTGTCCTCGAGTGTTTAAGAGTGAGGATTCTCCTATTACCTTCCCGTCATCCTCCATTGATGGAACTAATGTCACGGCCTGTGTGCGTTTTTGTGTGGTTTCTTGTGGGACTGGGCAAAAGGAGAAGAAACAAACTGCCACCCTGGTGACCTGTGCATAAATATGCTTGTGTTTTGAATTCTCAACCGTCTTTTGTGCTGTTTTTCCTTTTAGTGCCTTTGCAAGGTGCTGAGCTCATCTCTTCTTTTGACTAGTTGGGAGATTTTGGCACGCTTGTCTGAGGGCAATGACATTGTGGGGCGCTCCAAAATTGCAACTGCAGTTATTGCCGCAATGTGATTGTGGGGGGCTCCAAAATTTCCAGGGCTACTTGTAGGGGTGTCAGTTCGGGTCGGGTTCGGTTACCCAAACCAAAACCCGAAAAAACCTGAAAATCCGAAAATCACTAAAACCGAACCCGAACCCGATAAGAACTTGCTGACAAACGAGGCAATTTGATACAATTGTCTCAAAACGAAACAATTGTGTCAAATTGATATGTTACAATTCCTCATCCAAACGACCATTCTCATCCGCTCCGCTATCCTCATCGTTTCAACGTCTATACTATAGCTCTTTAATAATACTTTCCGACCGCTTCCCCTCCCAACTCAAAAGAATCCCCAACCCAAAAATCAATTGCTTCACTTTGTTGCCAGTCACTGTCATGTTAATGTTGGGGGTTGGGGCATGGTCCCATGGATTAATACATGCCATCGGCTTCTCACTGTGTGTTACCTATTACAAGTAGGGCTTTTAATCACCTATCCTCTCATGAACGGCTCGGCGTCAGATTTGAGAAAAATTTGTTCGAGACTCAAATCATCTTAATCGAGCTGGCTCGCTAACAAGCTCGTTAACTAAACGAGCAGAACTCGAGCCATACCATGTTCATCTCGATTGCTCGCGAACAAGCTCATTTAACGGTTTGGCAAAAGAAAGAATTGGAATTTATGGGCTTTATATATTGAAATTGGGATACATATTGTGTTTTGTTGAGTTAATGCACAATGTAGCCCCTGAACTATCACTTTTTCCTATTCAAGCCCTCTAACAATTTATTTTCCTATCTAGGTTCCTTAAGTATTTTATTTTTCCTAATCCAGCTCAGCCGTCAATTTTTCTGTCAATATGACGTTAATACAAATCAAAAGGACAAAATTGCCCTAATAAATTTTGAAGAGAAAAAAAATACCAAAGATAAAAAAAACCCCACGTTTAACCTAACACAACCCCGCCGTTACTCTTTTCCTACGCAAATAGAGAACTCTCGATCCCTGCGCTCAGCGCTTCGTCTTCTTGGCTGAATTTCCATTGACGGCGCCGGTTGAATTTTCATCTCCGACATTGGACTTCGGAACGTGGTGGTCTTCCCTAGCTACTCTCTCTGGTTCGTCCTGTTTTTATTTGTTTCTTCCGTTACCCATGAATCATGCCTTCCAATCTTTATGTTGCTCTCTGTACACCTTGGTCTTTTGTTTTCTCTGTGAGTTGTCTCCATGTGAATAGTTTATTATTATTGTTATATAAGGCTTGATCAAATTAATAATTTAATATTAACAATTGCAGGTTTCTTGGATAGAGATTATGAGGATAACGCTTGTGTACCATGTTAGGGGGAAGTTTGTCCGATCTGGTTATGCTTTTACACTAGTTGATACATAGTGTAAAAAAGCATAACCATCATCAACGGGAAAAAGCATAACCATAAAAGGGAATTTCTCTCTCTTCTTTTCTCTCTCTTTCTCCGGCGATCTAGGGTTTTCGTTTTTCGAACCTTGATGGCGGCCTCGTCGCCGACTGGTGAGGGTGTCACTTGGGCTCAGCTATTCGAGGTATCCCCTGAGAATAGACTCCATTATCATCCACCAGAGAAGGTGAAGGATGGATTCAGAATCCCGAAGGAGGTCGAAGAGAAGGGTGCGGAGAAGTGGAAGAACTCGTTGATTGGTCAGTTTGTGGGAAGTCGACCGGAGATTCCAGCTCTTCAGACATGGGCGAACATGTTGTGGGGGAGAGACGGTTTGGTGAGGGTTTCCCGATTTGGTACTAAGCTCATTGTTTTTCAATTCCCATCGGCGGCATCCTGTGACTGGGTTTTCCGCTCGGGTCCTTGGCACCATCGGGGGAACCCCATCTTCTTCAGGAAGTGGCATTCCGGTATCCAGCCTATTATCCCTCGGGTGGAGACTCTTCCCATCTGGGTGAAAATCTGGGGTTTGCCGTTGGAGTATGTGGCGCAGGAAGGTCTGGAGTGGGTGACTAGTACTTTGGGGAAGCCGCTTTGGATGGATCAGAAGACCAGAGTGGGTGGCCAATTAGGTTTCTCTCGTGCCTGTATTGAGTTGAAAGCAGATCTTGAGTTCCCTTCTAGTGTCAAGTTCTACCCGGATGATGATCCATGTTTTGAGGTGGGAATTGAGTATAGTAACTTGCCTAAAGTATGTGCTAAGTGTGGGGTGTTTGGTCACTGTTGTGGAGGTGAAGCTTTGGGGCCTGAGAGGGTTTGGAAACCACTGATGGGTTTGATGGCAGCTGGCAAAGAGGCAAAGGATGGGGTGGTTGATGGGATATTCTGTGATGCATTGGCTGATGAGGAGATAACAGGAGCAGACGCTGTAATTCAGTTGGTTGTTGGGTCAGATGTTGGAAATGCAGAGACTCAGGCACAGGTTATGGACTCTCCGCAAGTTTTGGTTGATAAGGGCTCTCCAAATTCATCTATAGTGAGTCCCTCATTGAGCTTTGCAGCTGTTGTTAGAGGGTCGCCGAGTGAGGGGAGTTCAGGGCCCCCTGTCCAAGTAACAAGGCAGATTGAGTCTCCCCTTCAAGATGGAGGCTCAGAGACGCAAATGGCTCAGAAGGGATCTCTGGCATATTATCTCAAGAAGGGCAGCAAGCTGGGGTGAGGAAGGGAAAACAGATATGGATTGATGAACCTCAGGCTGAGTTTCAGGTGGTGAGGAAAGGGGGTAAAGGTGGAAAGGGGAAGAAACGTAAATCATGAAACTACTTACCTGGAACACTAGGGGGTTTGTAGCGGATAGTAAATACTTAGATATATATAGGAAAATAAATAAGTATGATATCAGTATAGTAGCAATATTAGAGCTGAGAATAAGGAAGAAAGAGGAGTCCAAGTTTTTTAGTAAGAGGTTTAAGGATTGGGAGAGTAAGATCATTTACAATTCTGATAATTTAGGAAAGATTTGGTTGACTTGGAAGAAGGAGATCCCACTGAGGGTCTTGCACAATTCTGATCAGTTCATACATGTTCTGGTAAACTCTGCTATACCTTACTTTGCCACTTTTGTTTATGCATCTAATGAGGAAAGAGATAGACGGTTGTTGTTTGAGGATTTGAGAAGAATTCAAGTCGTGGGGATGCCATGGATGATCTCTGGCGACTTCAATGTCATCAGAAATCCTTCAGAAACTTCCACTGACACGAATATGACTACTAATATGAAGGAGTTTGACAGTTGGATCTTGGAACTGGAACTGGAACTGGAAGATCACCAAGCCACAGGGCCTTGGCTTACCTGGCTTAATAAGCAGGATGCTCGTCCTATTGCAAAGAAGTTGGACAGGGTGTTAGTTAACTTTGAGTGGTTAGACAAATTATCAGGTAGTACTGTTCATTTCCAAAGGTCTGGGATATCTGATCACTGCCCAAGTTTGGTAGAGACTGAAGTAGTGCAGAAGTCATTGCCAAAGCCATTCAAGTTTTTCAGGTTCTGGATCACTCACCCTAGATTTGATCATTTACTGAAGGAGGCCTGGGAATCTAGGGTGTCTGGTACTCCCATGATCAGAGTGTATAAAAAGCTTAGAATTCTGAAGAAATTATTGAGGCAGCTGAATAGGGAAGAGTTTTCTGAGGTAAGGGATAGGGTGAAGAAGAAGGAACTGGAACTTGAGGAAATTCAGGGTACTGCCCTGCTTAATCCTACCAGGGAAATTTTTGAAAAAGAAGCTGTTATATCTAGGGAGTTTCATATGTTACTTCAGGCTGAGGAATCATTTTTAAGGCTTAAGTCTCGAGAGATATGGCTTAAAAAGGGAGATTCTAACTCCCCATACTTCCATAGGTCCCTGAAAACAAGACAGAGAAGAAACACCATCTCAATGCTGAAAGATGAGGAGGGAAATAAGGTTACTGATCTAAATAAGATGGGGGAAATTGCGGAGAGGTTCTATAAAAAGTTGTTGGGGCAGAAGGATGATGAGGTAAAGGAGGAGTCTGATGAGTTCTACGCTGAGTTAGTCAGGAGGAGAGTTCCAGAAGAGGTAGATCTTTGTGCACCTGTAACCTCAGAAGAGATCAAAGAAGTGGTGTTTGGAATGAATGGTGACAAGAGCCCGGGACCAGATGGATATTCAGCTGCTTTCTTTCAATATGCTTGGCCGGTTATAGGAGCTGAGGTAACTTTTGTTGTTCAGTCCTGTTTCCTTGAAAGTAGAATGCCTAGAGAAGTAAATGCAACCATCTTAGCCTTGATTCCTAAGATCCAGAACCCTGATGAAATGCGTTTCTTTAGGCCAATATCGTGTTGCAATACAATCTATAAAATTGTTGCAAAAATAGTGGCTAATAAGCTTAGAACTCAACTCCCCCATTTAATTAGTCTAAATCAGACTGCTTTTATACAAGGCAGATCAATAGGGGATAATATTTTATTGGCCCATGAACTGGTTCATAAGTATGCTCGGAAGAATGTCTCTCCTCGATGTGCTCTGAAAATAGATTTAATGAAGGCGTTTGATTCAGTGGATTGGAATTTTATCTTTAAAGTTTTAAAGCATATGGGATTTTCTGATCAGTTCATTGGATGGATTCAAATGTGTG